ATGTAGGCACAAGTGTCATTTAGCTCACCTGTGTAAATCAATTCTATTTGTTCGCCCTGATCAGAATAGATAATATATCAAAGGGTTGCACATTGATGACCAAGAAGCCAGTTTCTTCTTCCAGAACCAACAAAGAGCTACTGAAGTGGACTAAAAACGTTCGCATTGGATATAATGACGAAATATAAATACCCGTTCTTAATATAAAAGTTAGTTTAAGTAATTGGAATAGATTAAACAACTAGTTAAGTTAGTTATTTGTAATAAATAGATGTTTTCTAAATATCCTTACCAATCAAATATAATGATTAGAACTACCATTATTACCAGGACTATTTTAAAGGGAAAAAAAAGATAAATGTGAAAGACAACAAGATTGGGGTCTTATAATTAGAATCAAAATAAAAATCAAACAAGTTATTGAAGGTAGTGCATCAAATATGTAATTTAAATTTTACTGTTCCGGTGGTAGAGGCCAGGGCAGCAATAGATCTGTGAGAGCAGTTTATTTCTTGATTTTACAGAAAGCCAGATCACGGTGATTGTTGGGGGAAGAAAATAAAAGATAATTTGACTAATTTCTGATATCGCCAAATCGACAGAACATTCATTACGGAAATGAACCGGTGAAGTTTCTACACACGGAAGCAGGACATGGGAATTGAGAAATTGAGAGCACATTCCAGATGACGACAGTACAGAGGGCCGAAAAAAACCGATGACTGGGCGTACAAATCTTTGTATCCTTAAATCGATAGATAGCAAGATAGAGGATCATCGCTTGAGCTTTGAAGGGAGGTAGAAACAAGCCACATTATATTATGTCTATTACCAAACTTAGATATGATATCTAGAAAGGTTAATATAATTTTTAATCTTAAATTTATCCTCATTTTGGTTTTAGTTTTTAAATTTTAAATAATAGGTTTTGGTTCTCAAAGTCAAAATAGTTTAAATTTTTATTGAATTATAAGGACTAATTTTAAATGAAAAAGAACTTGAGGAGTCAAAATTTATAATTAAAAATTTGATAGACCAAAATAAAATAAAATAAACTTGAGGGATAAAAATTTGTGCCGACCCTATCTAGAACCACCAAATTAGATTAAACTATTTTTGAACTCCAAATAGAGGAAAGCTCTTCCAAATATTTTTTCCCATTTATACAAGCTTAAATCTAAGACTACGTGTTGCGTAATATGCATCCTTAGCCTTTTTCATTAGAAAGTGAAGCTGTTAGCTTTCTGATTTGATCTTTGCCTTTACAAGTTATTCAACTGTAGACAAAAGTCAACCAACATTCAATATAGATTTGATTGTGATAGATACATCAATAGACAGATTATTTGCATCTTGAGCAGTGGTCACCAATCTCATCGAGAACGCTTTCAAAAGGACATACAAACAAGCAATAAACCCGGATTCCTCAGTTCTAGAAAACGAATAATGAATTTTAAACTCAAGCAGCCATCAAATCACCAATCGTTCCGAAATTAATACCCTGAAGAAAAGATCTCATCCCTGACCACTGAACATTAGACTTGTGGAATCAAACTCTGCTCTTCAACATGCATGAAATTGTCCTAAATGTCTTCTTTCAGCCAAAACCGTGCACAAGTGACTCCCCACAATGCAAAACTTGTCTGCAAGGCAAGCCTACGGATGCAGCAAGGAAGTAATCATGCATACCAAATGAAATGTCATTGCTCGTGGTCCATTGAGAAAATGCATAACTCACAACACACGCAGATTAATGTGTTTTCCCCATTCTTGTGGCTGCAGATTAAGTCAATAATTGCCATAAATTGTCCCCATTAAAATACAATATAACACAGAAGCCCTAATGATGCTATAGCGACAGTTGAAAGATAACTCCTTGCCACATTGAGAATTACATTCTCTCATTTCAAAATGCGTGATGGATTATAATCACCAACAAGAATTGGTTGAACCAATTAAATCATTGCATGAACAATATACACATGATGTATTCTCGTTCGGAATATACACAACTAGTATATTGGCCTCCTTGTAAAGTACATAAACTACATAGCTGGTGACAAAATCATATACTGGCAATGATGGCCGACAAAGCTGCAAAATTGAGAAACATTAACAAGTGAGGGATTGCAGCGAGTTAAATATGGCAGTTAAAGCCAGCAAGAAAAATCGGGATCCAGTCACCATCATGTATCATCTATGACCTTCAAGCAAGCCTTCCAACTCTCTCTGCCCAAACCTCCTACCCTGTAGATTGGCATCCTTACACCTGGCGGCAAAGTAAAACACCAGCCAAGCAACCATGAAGTAGACCTCCATCGTCGACTGAAACATCTTGGCAAAAGATCTTCCACAAACTCGGGCTAAAACCCATCTCGCGAATGATCCACAACATATAGCTTCCAAGCATTTAATTTGGATAGCTTGGTTCAACATTGTAGATATCAAATAACAACCTTCCTTCACAATTTCTCTACCACTCCTCCTAGAGTCCACAATAGAAACCCAGGCATCAACAGAAAATATGAATGCCACAAACGTATCAAGTAGAAACCAAGTGAACAAGAACCCGGAAATCTCCTTCTCAAAGCCTCGAATCCACGGAGACATGACTGAGAACGGCATCAATTTCAATCTGACAAACAGCTTGAAAAAAGAATACTGATCTTCGATTTCACCAAAGTACCAGAGTCCAACAAGCTGAGTCAAGGCGTCCCTGACGGCCCACCTCATCAGAATGAAACCCGAAAGCCTCTTAAGTCCCAGTCTGGAACCATCCCAAATCATACCAGCAATCGAACCAAACCTCCCCAATAGATCGTTAACAACAGCAATGAAAACGACGCCCAAGACCCATGAATATGTAACAAGAAAAACTAAAATCACCCATCCGTAAGCCGCAGATAGAAAACTCACAAGAAAAAACAGCGTCGCAGCATCACGACGACCGATTTCTAATCCCTTCATAAAGAACTGCAAATCGACAGCTCTATCGACTTCCTGGCCTGTTGCCAATTCAACCTTTTCGTTTTCTGCTTCTTTGTCGTTATCAATATCTTTATCGTCTGCAAATGATAAACCTTCTGCTTTGAAGGTGATTCCAGAGCGAACCACTTCCGAAACCCTAATCCCATTATCAATAACAAGATCCGAGAACCCTGATTTCAAGTTAAACGACCCAAAAACCACAAAACTGCTGTTGACGGACGATTTCTTGTTTGGCCCGAATAAGGAGCGACCATCGTCATCATCGCTGGAGAAGAAGTCATCATCCAGAGTTCCGACGCGGGTCAGATGGAGAAAAGGGCGACGACGGTGGCGGTGAAAGGCCGCAGAAGAAGGATCTTCGGGAGATCGGAAGCGATTGGAGTTGGTATTGCCGGCAAGGTCAAGGCGAGAGAGGAGGGCTTTGAGGGAGGGATCGCGGTCGATGAAAGAGGTGACATGGCTAGTGCCGTTCTCAACGACGGTACGGAAGGATAAGATGAGAAGAGAAAGGAAAAGGAAGGTGACGATATTGGCAGAGAAAGAAGAGGCAGCTTCTCTGAGGAGTTGGGCAGTGGATCGTAGGTTCTGCAACCGAGGATGGGGGTTCATGGCGGATCTGCGATTGTCTATTGCCTTCGAATTCGCGTTTGTTGGGTCGAGGTGTTTTTTCGATTCGAGGTTTTCGTCGGTGGGAGATAGCCAGGTGGCTATGCAGCTGTGAACTTCCAGGTGAGAGTAGGAAGTCTTCACGCGCCGAAGCACGCCGTGAAATGCACGCCCGGAGAGGATAAGTGCTGGACGGTTCGGAATTAGATTTGTGATTCATTAAACGGGTGGAAAATAACCGAATTGTTCAACAAATTATAAGGTCATCGGGTCACGGCTCCGGAGCTCCCATTTTGTTACAAAAATCCCTGCGGCTGTCGCCCCCGATGCGAAGACTTCTTAACACATTATAAGAATTACTTAAAAGATAAAATAGATAAATATAAAAAATAACTCAAACTCTTAATATAAAAACTTATTTGATTTTTATTTTAACCCTAAGTATAAAATCCTAATCTACTTTATCTATTATATTTATATATATTTTTAAGGTAACTCTTATAATAATAGTAGTTTTAACCAATATACTTGATTAATAATGATATATTAGAAAAGACGACATCTATTTATTATAAATAACTAAATTAACTAATTTACTTAATCTACTCAAATTAGTCAACTAGCTCTAATAGTACTACCTCCGATCCTAATTATAAAGTCTCGTTGATACAAATGAGATCTTATGATTAGGACCGAAGTAGTATATAACAATATACGTGTATTGTTACTGTGAACTTTTTTTTTTTATATATCAAACAATTTCATACACAGAAGACAGGTAAAATCGCGGTCATGTTTCTCCTTTTATTTGGATTGGAATTGGACGACAGAACTCGGACTTGATTTTTTCCAGGTTCTCAACGCTAAATTTTCAATGAAGATATTGTACAACAATCGTTGTTAAATTATGAGATAGCAAGCGTATGATTTAGTTAATTAATTCAGATTTGTATTATTTTACCTGTATCATATTATTGTTAAAGACATATATCTCCCCGTCTTGTTTCAATGAATAATAATTTAGCGACCGTTCCGGCAAAAAAAAAAAAATGGATATTTCTTTTGTCGTGCAGGCGGGGTCGAGTAATTACACCCTCTTGATAAAAAAATTGTAACCTGACTTGGAGTTAAAGTCGATGATTTGATATGGTTTTATCTTAACTTTCCGAAAGACGCCATCGAACCAAACAAAAAATAAAGAAAAAGAAAAAGTTTAGAACGTGATATTTTTTTCCCCCCTCAAAGAAAGATCCTGTTAGATACTGTCAAGTCTGTCCAACTACAAGCTAGTTCGAAGGGTCCAGACTGCCAGCTGGGAGGTCCAAATCTCTTGCTGCAAACTATTAATTACAGTACACTTATGCGACATTACATTACATTACCATTCTTTATAAAGCAGGAATTCCTTGTTTGATAATTGACCTTCAGACGTTGCAGAATACATCATCTCACCTACTCCAGTTGTCTTCCTTAGACTGCACTACTCCGGCCATTCTCTGCCGTTTTATTCCCTGGCCACCGACTCAAGAGTCCCAACTCCATGAGGCAAGAGCCACACTAATGACCACCCCCTAATTCCATGACTACGAACGCAACTATAAATTATAATACAACAATGGCCTTCTCAGTGGTCGACAATCAGAACCTCCACAGGATGGGGAGTAAGGATTACTCAACGAAAATCAGGCTTGTCTGGAAATTTGCACCCAGACCTTTGCAAGATAGTACTTGCTGCGTAACATCCAGCTCTGATGCAGTCTCCTATGGTCTTCTCCTGAATCAATTGTGAAAGGAATCCTCCAACAAATGCATCTCCTACCAACAAAACAACGTTATATATCACCTTCATACATCACAGATAGTTATGCCTTGGCTGTATTGAACAGATATCATGAAAACGAATGGTATTTTTCACTTCTTTTCTTATACAATGAAGAGTTTATGCGCGTAATCGTACAAGCAGCTTTATACCACTTTGTAACTCCTAAGCAATGGGACAGTTACCTGCTCCGTTTGTATCAACAAGTTTCTCTTTAGGTAATGGTATCACGGGGAACTTTTTCACCTTCCCGTCCTCAGCAACACACACAGGATCTGCTCCTTGTGTGATAATGGTGATCCTTTTGTGTGTTCCTGATGCCTTTGGCAACTGGGAAATCTTCAGAGCTATCTCCTCCACGTTATCAATCTAGTCAATAGGTAGAGACCTCACAAGTCAATATCTAAAGCCCACAATGCAGAGATCTGCTAGCAATAGCAAGTCAAATTTACCCCCCAGCCATGCACTTCAGAGAATGACCTTGCCTCAGTCTCGTTTCCAAAAACGAAGTCCATGTACCTGAATCCAGAAACGCCATCCTTTAGATCATATGTAAATTTATTCACTTGAACTTGAATGAGAAAGTTCCTTACGGCAAGACTCCATCAAGTGCATCCTTGAAGAACTCACAGATAAACGGGGCAGAGAGGTTCATCATGAAGACCTGTATACAGAAGCAAAATAGGAAGACATCAGAAACTGCAAGTAAGAAGGCATGGCCAATTTCTTCTTATCAGACCTTATTATTTACAGCTGCATGTTCAGCAACTAACTGAATGGAATCAGGGGAGACGACGAGGAAGAAGCCAGCAACATAGAAATACTTGGCCTTGTCAACTATCAAAGAAAAGATTACATCATATCAGATATCAGTCACCGGAAATTACTAGGAAATGAAGGTGGGGGGGGGGTAGACCCAGCATGTTCCGAAAGGTACCAAAAGCCCAAATTTCTGGTCTCTTCAAATGTTCCGACCTGTAGCAACTTGCAGCCGCTAAATTGGCAACAAGAGACCTAAATTTAAAACCAACTGAAGATCATTAAGAAAATGTCCATACTATTACAAATGTCTTGAAGCCAAGATATAAGTTCTGGGAAAACAGCAGTAAAGGTCAGTATTAAGGGAGATAAGGGGAAGATCAGACTGATATCAGACCTTTCACCACCAACGACGCAAACAGCACAAGTTCCGGTAGGTGTGGTTTCATCTATGTGATATTGAACCTGATTTTGAATGAACAATGTATTTTAGAAAAGAGGATTCCGGGGTCCGCCTCAGAGTAACAAATTACGAAGTATAAGACAAGATAAAACCTACATTAACGCCAGCATCTTTTGAACTCTTCGTCATCTCCTCTCCAAATTTATCCTTCCCAATGGAACCAATGTAAGTTGTTAAACCTGGTGTTTGAAGCATCCACTACAAGACAAATAGTAAATTACTTTGACGCAGACTCCAGATTCTATTATGAATCATAATTGTTCAAGTACATACCTGTGCTACCCTGATTGAATTCTGAGTAGAACCTGACAATAAGAAATTTTTTGAAAATTCACCAATGAGTACTCTGAATTTTGTTCTGAAGTGTGCTTATGACATGACAAATAAATCAATTTTCTCAAATCCAATGTCAGACCTCACGTATTACCTCCAGCTATGTACTCCACGTTATATTTTGTGGCCATTTCTTCGTACCTGAGATGATCATATGCATAAGATTGGTTCAGAGTTCAACCCACAGTTATATTAACTCATGTCAAGGAAAATGATTCCAAGATGATAAAGAAAATGCAGAGCGCAGATTCTCTTGGGAACCAACTGTTCCCAGGTTTCCTACACTATATTCTACTTTTACTAGGTAAACAGGTCATATACTGTAATTTTCACAGAATGATGCAATAAGAAGATTAACTAAAAGCTCAATAAGCCAAAACAATGTCACTTCGTTGGTCTGCGAATAAAAGTTAGTAGTCCTTCATATTACCGAATATGCCTAAGCATAAAGAGGGAAATGTGCAATTGAAGGATGACGGTTCCAACAGTGATTAATGATTAACATAAGTCGGACAATGACCACTATCAGTAAGAACTTGAATTTGTCAACAACTGCAGTGTAGGCATCGAGTGAGATTTCTTACATAGGCTGATGCTTTTCGTCCGCAGGAATTGCATCGTTCAACTTGAGGTCGTATCTGTCACACAAAAACCAGGTCAAATCGTCCAGAAAAGGGAGATGTGATCCTTGACATTCATGATCATATATGAGTCAATCACGAATTTTTTGACAAATCAGGCAATGAGAGACCTCGTATCCACATGATAGAACAAAGTTTGGAATAGAACTGATCGTCAGATACTATCCATCCATAAACTTGTAGGGCGGAAGCCCAGAAATCGGGAAATACATCACTGTTACCGCAAGAAAAAACAAATTCTGTAAACTTGCCATTTTGGGAAAGTCCAAACGGACACTCACTGGAATTCTCTTGCAAGCAAACTAAATGAAATAAACATGGTAGGCTGTCTCTAAGATATGGATTAAAGAGCACATAGGCAGGCGTGAAATGAAGCTCAACGAGACATATAAGATTAGACTAGTCTCAGATTGGGGAACTATTTGAAACTTAACAAAAGAATATTGCCTGAGAATCAGCCAGAAAATGAAGGAAGAAGACTACGTAGAGAATGAGAGGCGAAGAAAAGAGGGAAGAGATGCATACTTTTGCAAGAAGCCAGGGTCGACGACGGATGAGATGTCAAGGAGGGGATTACCCATTCCCAATAGAATGCCTTGGGATGCCATTGGTGGTTGATGGGAGAGACAGGCAGAAGCTGCAGGAGCGGCTGGGCGGAATTTGGAGCCATTTACTCCTTCACAATATTTTATTTGTCAGTCAATTTCGTATCCATCAGAAGATATCATAGGATCATACGCATCTGCCATTCTCTTTTTGAGAAGTCAGAATCAACAGTCCCACCAACTGGCCATTCTCGTTAGTGGGGTTGAAAATTGAAATCAGCATATGCCCTCCAAAGCGTCCGAAATGAGTAAATTCTGCGGCGCGCACACATATACTTTGAAGCACGCGTATGTTTTGTAAATTAACCAAAAACTAACAAAGTGAAACATGCATTCAGTTTCAAATTTCAATACCAGTATCTTTTTCATGACTTAAATAACTCCTCTAAACAATGTTTAAAAATATCCATTCATGAAATCCTCATACTAACGGCAGAGATCGTGGGTGAGTGCTAAACTTGTGAAACTTAATACCTCTGGTATTAGGTATAAGAGCTGCTTTACTAGATCGAAGAGATTAAAAAAAATTACTTAATTATGACATATGTTATACCATCTTTTTAAAATATTTATATAAATTATTAGATTATATATCAATTTATAAGTCACGCAAATTAGCTTGAAGAAAAACAGTAAATATTACCTCTAATCCTTAATATAAAAATTTTATTGAAATGGTGGATTTGATCTCAAATATATGATCTCAGTCCATTTTGTTTCTTATTTTTTTTAAAATATCTCTATTAATTGGGAGAAGTTTTCATCAAATGTTATTTCTACGCAAATAATTGAAAATGATAGTGTAGGGACACTAATACTCATCTGTAACAAATAAAAAATAGAAGTTGCTTTTCAAAAGAATAATATGAGCATAAATGTATGCGCACGCGCGAGTGAATGTGAGAGGGAGGGAGAGAGTCATACCAAGCATCCGAAAGTCCAACCACAACAAAACCAACTAAAAATCCATGGTCCATCCACTGAAACACAACCAAAAAGTTACAGAAAAATCAAAACAAATAAGCAAAGAAAACTCTGCTTCAAGATTTGTGCCTCTAGACTGTAATGACCCAATTTCTGTGAAGAGAATCTCACCGTGAAAGTGACTAGAAGGGGGGGTTGTCTTACAAATAATACTAGTTAAAAACCATAATTTCTATGCATAATACTAGTACTTGTTGATTGACATAAATTTGACTAAATGGGGAAAAAAAAAATAAAGGAGGATATGAATATGCGTCTAAGAAAATAAAGAAAGAGCGTTAAATAATTATTTACTATCTTAATCAGGATTGAAAATGAAGATAATATCCATCATCTAACAAGAAAAGCGCGATGATATTCTAAAATCAATTAATAATAATTCCAAATGTTTGATGTAATTTTGAAAAGGGAAAATGAATTTTCAGCCGTTGTGTAATTTTAAAACGTGGGTCAGTCATCCGGATTATAAAAGAGAAGACAAAGAAGTCGTGGAACTTTTTTTTATTTTTGGCCAACAAATGGTTGTGGAGTTGCAATCCAATTTTGGGGCTGCTTGTTTCCTTTTTCTTCAAATCCCAGGTTAGTTATAGTGAGGCGTCTTATGAGAAAGAAGGGACACAAGATTACAACACTTGTAACAAGAATGCATAACATTGGAGCACTAAACTCATGGTGAAAATATTAGTCAGCGTAGACGCAATCGAACTTCCACATTTAGGTGCTAGCTCTAAACTCGTGATCGTGGTCTCGCGGCTATGATAGCATCAAATTATAATAGGAGTACTTGAAGAGATACGGTTCTGGAGAGCTTTGGAAGTTTGGTGAACAATCCAATCCAATCCAAAGGTTCAAGACGGGGAGCTTTCAGGTCCCAAGAAACAAAAGAAAGAAAGAAAAAAGTTGGACAGGATAATGTAAACCTCTCCAATTGCAAAGATACTTAGGGTGTGTTTGGATGAAACCAAACCGTGGTTTGGAAAAGTGATTCTGGAGAATAGATTTTGGGGAGAATAGATTTTGTGAAGAATATATTTTGTAAAAAAGTGATTCTGAGAAGTGAGAGTGTTTGGATAGTTGTTATCAGAAGCACTTTTTATATATACAAATTACTAAAAAAAAGACATAAGTTATTATGATAATTACAAAAAAAATAGATTTTATGATATATTTTAATTTGAAGGAATAAAATTATTAATAATATATTTTTTACCAACATAATTAATAATACATAAGATAATATAATTAATAAATAATTAATGTGTATATATATTTATAAAATATAAGATTAAATATGTTTATCAAAAAATATGTTTATAAAAAAAATAACAAGATACATATCATATAGGCTCTCACACTCTCCCTTTTTTCTCCAAAAGCAAAAAAATTTTGCTTTTTTCAAAACCATGGTTTTGGAGTCAAAACCATGGTTTTGACCCAAAACCATGGTTTTGGTTTTTAGAGGGGGTGTTTGGGTGATTGACACCCCAAACCATGATTTGGGTCCCCAAACCATGATTTGGGTCCCCAAACCATGGTTTGGGGTGTCACCCAAACACACCCTTAGAGAGATGCAGCTAGAGCCTAATGTGATGACTGCAACAAATTTCCTCAGCCATTGTCTTTTCTACTCAACGAGGGTTACTCCACTTCAAAATTTGTCATGGACAACACGTTCGCATTCCACATTATTATCCTCTAGTAGGCGTATAATCACAAGACAGTTTGAAATGACTGTAAAACAAAATCTTTAGTTTGATGACATAACATCATATGGTGCTTTTATTTGGCTACATTATTAACAAAGAATTAAGGATAACCGAGGTTTCCCATCCACGCGGTTACATTTTAAGAGTAGAGACTCCATCGCCCTCATTAATGCCATGCAGGCAATAGCCCCAGATATTTGAAGCCATGTTTGCCCATCCATTCCTCATCTTTTGAGGTAACATGTGCAGGTGAGCCATTCATTTAAGTTGATGTAATCCTACTCTTCTTAACAGGAAAAAAACTTGTAAATAAATTAGAACTTGGCTGGGGAAAAAACCACAAGGAATGAATTTTCTTTTTGGCTGACCCCAAAGCAAAAATTTAAAGATGATCACAAATTGCTTTTGTAAAGTCAGTTGTTGATGAACTGCCACCAAGGTCAGCCGTTCGGTACTTTCCTTCAGCAATTGTGTTGAGTATGGCATTTTGAATCCGCTCAGCCTTGTCATGGAGCTCAAGATGGCGCAGCATTGTAACAGCACTCAGCAGCAAAGCAGTTGGATTTGCCAAGTTCTACATAAATCCGAAGAAAATATGAATAAGCAACGCAACATCTTGAAATGAGCGTCAATGACACTATGACCCAGGCTGCATTTGAGAGGAAAATAATTTGGCAACTAAATAACAACAAAAAATCAGAAAATCCAAGTTTCTTCTTGTGAGATCATTAATTTCTGTCTAAGTTTTTATTATCTAGCCTCAGTCTGCCAGCCAATCTAGACAATTTACACAAGAACATCTATCTTCAAAGTGACCATGTCAATTAACGCAAAACTTCGATAAAAATGTTTAAATAAATTGAGCGCACAAGGTTAATTACTGCAACAAATTTTTTCATAGCAGGGTAACGATACTACCAGAAAATTGAAGTACACGGATGACAGATTGTAGACATTTCAAAAGATCTCATTTGAAAAGCACCACCACCAAATTTGACTTCCTAGAATCCTAGTTGGGAAAAACACGTCCACTAACCCAATTCTTTAGTACACGGGAAATTTTCATTATCAGCAACCAAAACAACAATGTTAAAAATAAAATCAATAACTTCACCCTTGGTCTGGATGGCGGGACGATTATGTAACTTAGGCTATCAATTCCTCCAATGCCATCACAAATCAAACACAAGTTTTGGGGGGGGGGGGGGAATGCAAACTATAAAATAACAAGGTGAAAAGATTGCTTGTTCGAAAAGAACAAAATGTGAAAAGATTGAAGACTAACGAAGAATAGGGAGTAGTTGGAACAGCTCACCTTTCCAGCAATATCAGGTGCTGAACCATGCACAGCCTCAGCTAGTGCAATACCGCCCTCACCAATGTTGCAGCTGCCGACATTACAAAATTGCATCAAACGGTACTCATAACATTCTACATTTTTGGACCAAAAACAAAAACGAAAATACCTTGGTGTTAAGCCCAATCCTCCAACCAAGCCAGCACAAAGGTCACTGATAATATCACCATAGAGGTTAGGCATCACTAAGACATCAAACGCAGATGGATTCTTCACAAGCTGTAAATGGGCAACAGCATGTGTTATTCCATTTTGACACAACAATTTCCAGATGCAATTGCATCACACATCTAATGTGCCTAAATCCATATAGGAAGACGCCATACCATCATACAGCAATTGTCAATGACAACTTCCTCATAAGTTATCTCAGGATATTTCTCAGCAACCTCACGGCAACACTGAAAATAATTCAAAATCTAAGTCAATGGAAGGATTCATGGCTAAAAATTGAAGCCAATTGATTGTGCGTGCAATTTTAAGTATCTGTGAACCTTGAGGAAAAGTCCATCAGTTTTTCGCATAATGTTGGCCTTATGTATTGCAGACACCCTCTCTCTACCATGTGTCTGGGCATAATGAAAAGCATACTCAGCCACTCTTAAACTTGCTTGGCGTGTAATAATTTTGAGGCTTTCTACTACACCTCTCACAACCTGTCAACAGTAGATGGGGGTTGATGAGAGTTAATATCAGTCATAAATTCAATGGTAGAATGTCACATCAATTGTTAAAAACTTACCTGATGTTCAAGTCCACTGTACTCCCCTTCTGTATTTTCACGGATAGTGATAAGGTCTACATTATCATAGCGAGTTTTGTAGCCGGGAAGACTATGACAAGGTCGGACATTGGCATACAAATT